GGGCATTAGCTAAGAGTTTTGAGATTGTTTTTAATAAAAAAATTAAGTGTTTATTTTGATGATTTTAGGTTCTGAACCCTGTAGTTAGAGTTGGTCTTAAACAAAGATTAGCAGGACTCCTATCCCAAGTCTCGCGCTTTTATTTGACATTTTGGACCTCGCGTTAGTGAAATTAAATTAAATTGTGAGACCTCATCTAAAAAAAATTATCTCAGACCTTGCTCCATCCTCCACCTTAAAGATTCAGCTCTGCTTATACTAATTACTAAATATATTATAATTTTATAATCTATATTTATTTATTTTACAGCAGTTGACCGATACATCTAAACCAACAAAGTCAAGTGTAAGTATATTATATATACTACTTCTTGAATCTGACTTTAATTAATTTTTATGATAAAATTTATATAGAAACCTGGAAAATGGAATGCAATGCATGTGCGATTGGCCTGGGAAATTTATCATTATCAACAGAAACAACAAGTTGCAGAAACCAAAAATGTTGCAAACAATCCGTTGCCAAAGACTGAATTATTAAGGCCACCCACACATTTATTTCCACCTAGCCGACCACCACACGATCTCTCTCCGTTTACATCACCTCATCATCATCATCCAGGATTGCCTCCTGGCTATCCACCTATGGGTAATTATTACTTAATGATTGTTTTGTCTATAAATATATTTTTGTATTATTATAATTTATAAATTTATCTATTAGGTCCTGCAGCAATGTTTACGAGGTACCCGGCTGGATTTCCACCAATATCCTCATTTCCACCCAATCCCATGAATGATCCATGGGCTAGGTTACAGCCTTCTCGTGGACTACCCTCACAAAATCCAGCATATGGCCCTTCTGGAGGTTGGCCAATAAAACCAGATCCTGTAGAAACAGAACGTGTAGAACAACAACAACGAGAACGTGAAAGAGAGCGAGAGCGAGAGCGTGAACGTGAAAGAGAACGCGAGAAAGAGAGAGAAAGAGGTCGAGAGCGAGAAAGAGTGAAACGCGAAGAAAAGAGAAGACATATGATTCAGCAGCAGCAGTTGCAGCATCAACAGCAACAGCAGCAGCATCAACAACAGCAACACCAACACCAACAACAACTTCAACATCAACAGCAACAGCAACATTTACAACATCAGCATCAGCAACAGCAGCAACAAGTAGCTAAAATGAGAGAACGATCGCCTTTAAAAGATCCTAATTTAATGTCCAAAGAAGAAGATTTAAATAATATGATGTTGGGTCGTATTCCACCGCCATCTCATTATCTACCTCCGCCACCGAGACATCCTCAAAGAGCTGCACATCTACCAACACATTTTTCACCATGGGATCAGTATAGGTACACACAATTGTATTTTAATCAGTTAAATATTTAAATTAATAAACAATGATAATTAGAGATTTAATCATTTAGGTTCTACGTATTTTCATTATTTTTTTTAACTTTAAATTGTAATCCTATATTTATTTTAGATATGATTCTTTAAGGTTCAGTCCATTAATTGCTGCTGCTGCTTATAGAGCTGAGGAAGAAGAACATAGGGCCAAATTATTTGGATATCATCCTCAAGCCCATTTAAGACCAAAAGACCCATCTCCTAATACTCATCGAACAATGCCTCCAGATATGCAACTACCTAAAAAAGAAGAATCTTCTCAATCTAGGTAGTCCAAAGCTTAAAAAGTTTTTGAATTTGAATATATTTTATTTTTATAGTCAAAATATTGGCATAATAAATTTAATGTTAATTTATTCTTTTAATTTTTCACCACTACCCTTATTAGTGTCCTCTAAGCATAACTACATTATTCTTCTATGTATACATTTTTATTTTACATATAAAATGTAATGAACAATTTTTACTTATTATAATTATTATTTTATGTAATTTCTAAAATTTAAATATGTGCAATCAATTTTATTTCAATGATTTCAATTGAATTAAAATATAAGTAATACCATTTTAATAAATGTATTCTTTGGTTAATGAAATATTATGAATTTTTTTTTAAAATCATATTGTATTCGTGCAATCAAGTTCTTATTTAAAAAAAAAAAAAACAACAAAACAAAAAAATATATATATACATATTAAATTATATGTAACACCTGCAACATTCTTTGTAATAACTATATAGGACACACAGGGTTAATTTTTATTTCTGAACTGATTTTTTGACCCTTGATATATATATTTATATCACGTCAGAGTTGTATACTACCAAATTAAATTTAAAAATAGTTAAGAAACCCAACATTTTTAATAAATATTTAATATTATTTGTAAAAAGTGTTTTAATGAATTTTCATTGCTTTTGTTCCTATTATTGTTTAATATAATGTATCTGTGAATATATAATTTTTACATGGAAATAATTTTAATTATAATAAATTTGAATAAAGAAATAAACCCCATTATTTAAGTTACCAATTAAAATTAATGATGATAATTTTATTATTATTAAGTTAATAAAGTAAATGTTTTGTAAAGTATAGACACTGATTAGTAATTTTGCTGCATTAACTTAAAACTTATTGTATATACTAATAATACTGATAAATGGAAAAAAAAAACCTGCGTCTTTCTATCTACAATAATACAATTAAGTATTCTATTTAGTATATTATTTTATAAAGCAGATTTACATATTAATTTGGCTATATTGGTGAATCGTTTTGCACAATAATCAATATTCTATTTTAATCTCATTCTAGTAATAGTTGCAAATATATGTATATATTATATATTTTTATGTTTTATTGTCAAACTTAGGAAGCATTATGTTGTAATATAACTGAGTAAAAAACTTATTTCTATTATGTGATTTATCAATTACATATTATGTTATGATGATATTATCATTATGTTATTTATAGTACTTAATCATTTTTTTTTGAGAATTTGTAAAAGAAAACTTTTTATCAGTTATCTTTGTATTTCATAAAAAAAAAAAAATTATAAAATAATTATATTTCATCCAGCTACATGAATTTATAAATGGGTTATTTTTATAATCATTATTGATTATTTGCTTTTCAATTAATTTCTACATTTTAGAATGCAATTGGTGTTTCATAGTTTTAATTTGTTATTTTATTTTACGTGCCAGTGATAAAATTTTCAACCAAAAACGCTGTTAGAACATTATATATGATTATAATACACATAAAACAAAAACTTTGTAATTATGTATAGATTTTAAATATTTTATTGTGATTCTAATGTTAATGTAAGTGTATATATACTTGTAAAGTGATGATACAATAATACAATTTTATGTACCACATAACTGTTTTTATTTACCAATAAGACATTAGACAATAATGCTATAATAGTTATACTATTATTCATTTTTCCTTTCTTTCTCTCCAATAATAAACGTCCTTAAATACTGTGCATAGAACTACAGGTGCAAATAATCAAATTTAACAAAAAAAGAAAGTGCTTTTTTCATTTTTATTTATTTTTAACTATTAAAAGTGACACAGGGGCTTCAATTTTTCTGGCTATGAGTTACATATAACTCGTTTATAACTTATTTTTAATAAACCATTGTTTAATTAAGCAATAATATGATCACAGCAAAAACATTTCGTTGAACTCCGTGTAAAAAATGACTGAGTAAAAAAAAAACAAATCTTTAAGCGTTATAAAGATGTGATATCATAAATAAATGTTAAATAAATTTAATTAAAGTTCACTTATTTTGTTTCAATAATTTATTTACTTAGCGAGAAATTATTTTTAGTGGAAATCCATTATAATATTTTAAATTATAATGAACTTCTAATGCATTTAGTTTATTTTTTTCACGCATTTCGTGTGCGGTGTCATATAAAGTAGATACATTATTTCTCGCCAAGTAAATAAATTATTGAAACAAAATAAGTGTATTATAATTAAATTTGCTTAACGTTATTTTATTTTTCATATCACATATTTATAAGTACTTAAAGATTTCTTTCTTTTTTTTACTTAACCACGGCGTTCTACGAAATGTTTTTGTTGTGATATTACCAATTTTTTTCTGGCCATCATAATAGATCTAATAATATCGTCAGATTGCATTCTAGTAATACTTAATGGCATTTTGAGAGTACTCATAAGCCGATTTGTCTGTTTTTCAATATATCCATAAAATCGAAACACTATCTTTGTCTTAATTTTTTTTTCAAAAATTTTTTGTTTGGACAACAGTTTTTTTGGGGAATTTATTTCATCATTAATTTTCTTTTTTTATTAAATTAGTACTTTTCTCTGTTTTTTATTCTTTATTTGGTACACTTTAGTTGGCATGTTTATATTATATATATTAAATATTTACCAATAAATTATAGTAATAAATAACAGTTAAATGACAATTCAATCAAATAAAATTTAATAAATATAATATATGGTTCAGTATGAAATATAAACAGAGAGCACGATGGACACATGACTACAAGAGACTGAAACAAATTTACAAACTAACGACCCAAGACTCAACGAAGCGATACTGTATTACTGTGCGATAGTCGATAACAAAATTACAAATTGAAACAAGTCGTGGAATAAAATAATAAATATTATGTAATATATGAAGTCGTAGTATAGCAATAACGAAAGGCTTCGTAATTTTCTCCCACCTAAGCTACCTGGATCTTTTACTGCGTACAAGAAATGGAGTGGGAGAACCGGTAACCGGTCTGCACGACAACTCGAGGTACGGCCGCCGTGATTACTGATTACAGATTTTATTATAATTTCTCGTTCAAAAGTTCACACGTTTCCTTTAATAGCTTGATTTCTAACCGTACGATTTCGACGATTTTTGCAAAGGATAATCTGCACAAAATTTTGAAATTTTTCCAATTTATTGGATATTAATTGATTCAGTAGATAATTAGTTAGGTCTGTTTAAAAAAAACACCAACATTTACGCTATTTAAACGAGCAACTCCCACTTCGAAATAATAATATACACTGTCGTTTGGCCGGTATATTTTTATTTACTTGGCTCGCGCCATGACCGTGGCGCTGGACATAATATTATTTAGTCTGTACTCTGTATTGGAAAAATAGAGGTCAAAGGCCATATTTGTGATTATCTCTCTTAATTCCTGGATTTATCAATTAAATAGACCGTTTTTCATTTATAGCTTGAACTCTGAACTTTAATTTTTTTAAATCACTAATTTTATGTTGTGTAATTTATAACTGATGTTCGTCTACACAGCTATTGTATTTCAACGTGGTCAGTACTGAACGATTGCGTGTCGTCTCCGTTTTTTCTTATTCCTATGTAATGCGTTGATGCGCATAAACTGCAATAATAGTGTAGTTATTGCCTCTTTGATTTTTTAGTGCTTAGGTATACAATATATTTATACACACACATATTATTGTACTCAGTCTATCGTTTAGAAATTAAAAATGTCCATCAGCACGTTTTTCAACAAGTTATTCAGCAAGTTCGTGATGCACTTGTTCAATCTATTTTGTTTCGTAAGTACTTATTTCATACCTATTTGCTATAATATTAGGTATATTATATCGTGTTAACTTTGAACATTTCATCAGTGATTTTATATTCTATTTGGTACGTTGATATGTATTTCAGTATTGGTGAAGTAATATGTTTAATCCATACTCTGTATAATAATTATATAATAATATCATATTATCATTATTAATTGTTTCACGTGTTTTCGGTTCGCAGATATCAGGTATCGGTATTTTATGGATTGCGTACTTCATGGACAAAAATTTATACAAATGGTCCGAATTCGTTAACTCGAAGCTGACATCAATGCCTGAAATACTGGCGGCCGTTGGTATCCTACTACTAGTCATTGCTATCGTCTATACGTTCGCTGCACCCAAGAACACCAAATATCAATTAACTATGGTATTTACCTGCGCTATTAATTGTTACCTACACTTAATCGTTGAAAACTAAATTAAATCATTTTAAAACATCGAAATTATAAATCGTAACAAACAGGCTGTCCTTAGGCGATGCATTAAAAATGAATAAATAAATGTTCACTTAAATATAACTGCACTGATGATTTGCAGCAATACAAATAGAGTATGAGACTATTGGCATGATGTTTCGTTTAGGAGTGAAGATGTGAATTGTGAATAATATGTAACAGCTGTTTGTTACATGGCAAGGTAGGAACTTTTAAATCATTGTATACAGTGTAGTATATAATATATTGGTAACGTACCGAAGGGCATTGCAGACAATCATTCGTAAGCAGATAACTTGGAATGCTTGAATTGTTCTGGTGTTTACTGATTTGGCTGAGTCTCAAAGTGCAACAACATAGTATCAGACAGATTGCAGTAGACTTTTGTACAAAAGTAGGCGATTGGAAATGTTCATTTGTAATTTAAAGAGAGGTCTTAGAATGTGAAGGCAGATTTTATTGAACAATTTTTTTCTATACACTATGATAATTTTAAATTATGTAAATTATGACACTGTAATTTTTCCATTTTTTTTTTTTTTTTTTTTTTGTTGTAAAAATTCATTATGCAATTTTTATTATTTTTATAAAAATGCTATGTATACCTAAATAATTCGATGTATAATTTGGCGAACTATGATCGAACAGTGTTTATTTCTGTATTAGTGTGTCCTATACGAGTGGACGTTAGACTCACTGGCTATATTTTCTTACTTTTCAGTCCAAATTGTAGTTTTTTTTACTAAGGTTTTATATATGAGGAGAAAAAGATGTGAAAGCAAACATTTTCATCATACTATAGATATTTCTTATAATTTATTAATATTCAATATGAAAACATCATTTTTTTTTTTTTTTTAAGGAGAAATTTGATACAAACAAAACTGGTATTTTACATAAGATAAGATGAAATAGAAAAATATAAATTCACCAGCATCTTATTTATAAACTTTTTGATTGAAGTATATTAATTGTCAAAAACAACTAAGTAAAAAAATGTATAATCAATGATATTGTCTATATTTAGTAAATACCTACCAAAGTACTAATGGTGGATTACATTAATAGAAGATAATATAGCTAGAGTCTAAAGATTAATAATTTTATAAACATTTCATAGATATACATTGATGTGAAAACACATCATTAAATATTCTGTTAAAATGCTTAGGTACAAAATATAAAATGTTATAATTATTATTATATAATGTCTATTACAATTTAAATCTCATTATATATAATGCAAACAAAATAATTAGATAACATTAATACTATATTAATAGTTTAGACGACTCCTTAGGAGTTTTTCGAAGCATCAAAGTAAAATTAAAATAGTGTACACAATTTTTATAAAACTTAATATTTAAATACATTTCAAATGAGAATTAATATTGTCGCTTACGATGTGAAGAACATTAACAAATCAAAGTATAACTATTTTATATTTAAATAAAAGATTTATTACAAATTTTTGCGATTTCAAATTGATATTTACGATGAAATAACTAAAATATTCAATAAATTATCAGGTCTTTGTTTACCGTTTACCTATGATCTGAAGTCTTAAACAAGTCAAACGTCTGAAATATATGAGCTCACGTCGTACCACCAACTCGAGGAGATTATGTGTTTTGTTTAATCGAGTTATGGAAATTATATTATTTATTACTGCCTGTTCAGAGCCACAATCTACCAATTCAGCCAAATCACACTATGTCAAAAACTCTAAAACTCATAAGTCTAGTACAGGTATACCTACTTAACATAGAGTTGTAAAAAAACTATTAAATTTTAAAATGATAAATAATATTTTCAAGAGATAAGATATATTGCTGTATAATAGACCTTTACACTTTACATTTTTTTTTATAGGTCATGATTTATGTTTTCAGATTTTAATTTAAGTTGTAGTAAGACACTAATTATTTGCAATAGAAAATATTAAATGTCAGTGCATCTTCCAGTGGTGTCGTACCTTTATATGAATTGAAACAATCGCTTCATTTAAAAAAGAGGGTGGGTGGTTTTATTTGTATGTGTTTTTGTTTTTACATTACATAATACTTATACTAAATAATTAAATAAATAACTAAAGTTATTAGTTATTAGAGGTAGACAACGAATTATTTCCTAATCTGTTTACCAAAATATTTTGATTTTGCTTCGCTTAAATTTATATTACTCGGCACTACTGGCACCTGCCGATATAGTCATACCAAAATATTCTAGATCGATTCATAATGCTGTATTTTAATTCAATACTCATGTTTTTTGTTAAAATTCAATCAGAAAAGTAATACTACTGTCTACTGTATAAAAAACAAAACATTAATTTTCGAATTGATATACATGTACTGACAGAATTTATGCTTTATTGGTAGAATGGTTGCAATACACACATTTTATCTCAAAACGCTGCACGTTTCAACAGTGGTAGACACTATAGTCTATAATTTTATTGATGTATTTACATTAGTTTATAAGTTAGAAATCATATACTATGAACCTTGGCGACAGTGAAGTAGGTAGTTATCGCATTACTTTGTAAAACCTACCGTAATTATAGTAATTAGTAAGCCGTCACTGAACATACAATACCACCTACAACTGTTTATCTGAGGGGATCAAAAGAAAAAACCGACAATTGGCAAAATCGATTTTGTTTTAAAGTGTAAAAAAAAATAAACAACCGTAGATATATTATATTCTATTACTACCCAAAATTTGGTACTCGTGGAGGAATAGAATTCCGCCAAATTATTTCGTTTCTATTCATTAATTGATAAACGCGACTTTAGTGGTCGTCAAATGACATTAACAGTTTTAATTTATTCATTTTGTTATTTTCAAATTTACGTGCTTTGTAATAAATAATAATTAAATTATTATTTTAATCACTGTTGATATTTCCTTCACAGGTTCACAGACTACATTCAGTAAGACGACGATTTTTGAAATAGTATTACGTTTCGATAAGGAATAATTTTTGTAACGTAATAACTTATACCTAACTAATAAGTATGGAACTACGCGCGATAATAAAACAGTTCATCGGCGAATATCTATCAATATAAAATGATGCGCCACGCAACAATAGGAGTAACACAAAATGTAAATGTTAAACATTTAAATTTATTATTATTTAACCATACCGTCATGCCGGACCATGCCACATAGCCGTCATTAAGTATTGTTCTTTAATTCGTGACTATTTCGTGTGGTGCACACCCTCGTGATAGCACGTCGGCAAGATTCTCATTTGATTTCACACGCCCACATTCCGAACAATTCGTCAATGTATTTACCCGCGAGATTTGCAACAAATATTTTCCATTTTCTTCAGTTTACGCTCTACGGACAGCCAAGCCAAGCCGACAGTTGAATCTGTTCAAAATTGACTTTATGATAATATATTCATTCTAAGTGCCGGTTTAATTGCGTGCATTAGTCGTGATAAAAGTACCGTCGCGCACAATTCTAATCTAGGAATTTATATTACTTAACCGGCGCGATACGCGATTTTAGTATTTTACACGCAGTAATTGAGATTTAATGACACCGTTGCCGTATCTTTTGCGTAGATATAGATACACGCACCGTATGTCTTCATTAATACATCTGCGAACCCGCGTATTTCAATGCGTTTTCCATTATTAGATCTCAACCAACGGAGTATATTAAATTAATTAAGGCAATTGAACTCATTTAAACAGCTATTGTAGTTTTCCAACTTCAATTGTACGCGCGTTGAGGAACTGGACTGTCTCAACAAATAAATTATGCATTAATATTTTTCCAACTAGCAGGTATATTACCTAATTTAATGGATCAAATAATGTCGCTTGACCGGAAATAATACGTCTTTTCGTTATATATTTGTGTATTTATTTTTGGTATTTGTACGATGTAGCCGATGTAGGTTTAGTAATAAATTTTCGGATCCCGATATAAACCTTAAGTGTTTTCACTCTTTCTCTATCCGGTCGTTACATCACATTTATTAGGATTAGAAAATAAATATGTGTGATTTGCGATTTATTTTAATAATTCAAATTCTGAAGCTTTAATAGAAGTCTGATAGATAAGTTTAAACCAAAATTCAATAACCGATTGTTTTACATAGTATTTTATTAAAATTTAAAGTGATTGAATAGTAAACGAATGGATATAAAATATGAAAGAAAAAACAACGAAATACCCTATGGCCTTTATCTTTAAAGTGTAAATACCGTCTATACCTATGTCTATATAAATTTAGTAATTACACAATATGTATTAACTTTTATATTGACTTTTATGTATGTATTTAAATTTAAGCATGTGTTACATTTTAACATTAGAATATTTTATAATTTATAGTTATCTTTTCTGCTCATAATCGTCTTGATTGGTGAATTCGTGTTGGGTGTTGTTGTGTATAACATACGCAGTGACATGGAACAATACGCATTGAGTCAAATGGAATATACAATCAGCACTTACAATAAAACCGGAAGCGAAGCTTCTAGACAGTCCTGGAATTTATTACAATCTGACGTAAGCTTAATGATATAAAATGATAATAATTTTTACAAGTTAACTAATTTTTATGCACTTTAAATAATAAGAATGAAATGTTTTTATGCTTTAAAGATTTATAAGACATACTATTATATTCTTGTATATGCATGTATTACAGGGCCGGATTAAGATTTTCGCCGCCCATAGGCTGAAATAAATTTACCACCTAATTTACATAGGTATTGATATTTTACTTCTATAAGTAATGTGTAAAAAACCCTCCACACCTCATATTAAAAAAATGATCATCAATAAAATAAAAAAATAAAATAAATACTTTATGTATATTATTATTGATGAATGAAAACTCCTTAAGCATGTTAAAAGAAAATACAAAAAAATAAATATTTTTCATATTCTTTATTCTTTAGACTATAGTCTTACGTCTTTATTTTTTTTTTTTGCAAAGTCTTCAATGATGTCGTCATAGGATAACTGATTAATTAATTCATATTCAATACTTAGTATAGCAAGTGCATTTCATCAATCCAGTGACATTGTAGATTGGAGATAATTAAATTATTTTTTATTTTTTTCAAGCAAGAAAATGAACGTTCAGCTGAACAGTCATTGCAGTAGATGTAAATATTTCGAGTGCTATTTCGATGTTGGGATAAATTTAAATTCCGTTTTTTTCATGTAAAATTTGAAAAAGTTTGGGAAAATTTTTTTGCTTATCGACAGCCAGTTGTATTATGTGTGCTTTTAAGTGTAGACATTCATTAATTATTAATTAATTAATTTAAATCTATATCATCATAGTATATTTCATTAAGTTGTGTAGCTCTTTTAACAATATCATTATGTGATAAACTTTCAAGGTTGACAATAAAAGCAAATGGAAATCACTGCTTTAAAACGAATACAAATAAACGACCAGTCGATTTTGTTACAGCGTGGTGTATAGCAAAATAATAAACTTAGTACGAGTATCTTATAATATAGGTACCTACAATATTTGAGGCGTCATCGCTTATCGCGGAAATTTCTCCACATTGTACATTATCTACTATAATAATTATTATGAGATTTACGACGATAATATTTTGACACTTGTTTTATTATCTAAAAAAATTAACTAAGTTAAAATTAGATTCAGCTGATACGGGTTTAATGCTTCTTTCTTTCGCGATTTACTATTAATATGATAAAATAATACGAATAATCTAATAAATAATAATAAATATTATATACTTAATTTCGATTACGGTTTATTTAGAAATACTTTGTTTCACAATCACATCGAACTGTATTCTAATTGCATGTTTTTATATTTTATATTTAAAAATAATATCTCAACGTAGTTATTGAGTCACACCATAAAAAATTTGCTGTTTCATTTCAATCATTAAAATTTGCCGCCTTTTAATATTTGCCGCCCTAGGCTTTAGCCTAAACAGCCTAAGCGGCAATACGGCCCTGATTATGTATATAAATATTAAATAGTAATAAGGGTACATACTAGTATGTCTTATTCTATTTCATTCCAAACATTGTATTCCAATGTAAAGATATAGGTATCAATAATATAATATAATGAATATTTATATTTTACAAAATTACTATGGTTTACATTAGTGTTGATAATTTATTTGAATTTTATTTTATTATAATGATTTTTTAATAATAAAAATTATAAATTCGTATGAAAAAAAATTAACGAATTTACTCCTAAAGCATTCAGGAATATATATGATAAATTGTACAACAAACCCTGCATTTGAATGTTTTGAAAAAACTTAAAAAATGTAAAAGTACTTAAATACTTATGAATTGGCAAATAACACCGTTGTATAGTTGAAGGACTTGAAACTGCGCATAAATTCGCTAAAATCGTGTAATTACACGATAAGGTGGTTTGCTGGTTTCTAGTGTTTCTACATAGTATTTTTGTCTGTTTAATTTAGATTATAGTCTGTATTATAAGTCTTTAACTATAGAGTACAATAATTCCTGTTTACAGGTCGAATGTTGCGGAATTAGCGGACCAAAAGATTGGGAGTTGGTTACGCGCAGCGGTAAACTGCCTACGTCCTGTTGTTACGCCATCCAAATCGATGAATCTTGCACAGAAAGCAATTCGTACACAACCGGCTGCTTTGAAAAGTTCAAGGACAATCTCCAGCATAATAACCGAATAATATTATGGTCTGCTATAGGATTTGCTCTAATTCAGGTATGTTTAAAAACAATAGAATATTAAAACTGTCCACTATCGCAATGTCGTTGGGTCAGTGCGGTCACGTTTTACTCGAGTGTGTTTCTACATTTGTTTGAGTTATATATCATAATATTAGGCCCTAGATTTTTATGGATTTTCGTCATAACTTGCGAAAACAGATCAATCTAAATAACATAATAATTGTGTACACGTTTTTGATTTCAGATATTTGCTGCGTTTTTAGCATTTTATCACAAATGTTCCGTTACTCGCGAAGAATATGAGAAAATATAATAATCATTCATTATTATTGGTACCATTAAATATTTAACTTAAGTTCGTATAATATTCATAAAGTGTATCAATACCTACCTAATATTTTATTTCGTGCATTATTCTTAATACCATCTGATTTGGCAATTTTATACATTTATATTGATTATTGAATAAGGTATTTTAGACATTAAAGATATTATATTTTATAGTTGTATACTTAATTATTAAATTTATTTATTTTTAATTAATTACCTACTATATAGCTATAATTTTTCTATTCAAAAAATTATAACATGATCTGTGTAGATATATTTAGTATTTACCTACTGATATTTTACTCGATTTTTTTTCCTTGTAAAATTATAAGACATATATACATTTAATATTTTTTGGAGCATTAATTGAAGTATGAATAAACAATTTCGTCAAATTTTAAACTTAAAGTTTAAAAAAAAAAATTATGTGTAGCTCAATGAATGATAATCGCATGTCTTAATACCAAATCGATTCAATTTTTTTTTTTTAATGTGTCAATATTTTGTAAATTGATTTTTAAAATGTTAAAATAAGTCATTAAAATTCACTAAGTTATGATTAAATTAAAAATAGTATCTGCCAAAATAAAATTTAATGATTTGCATATTCTAAAAACTTATTTGCAATTAATTGCAGCTTATTCGATTGGACAAGTCGGAGAGGCCAACTTCACAGACATGAATTATTATCCGTATTGTGAAATGGAATCGCGACTTTTCAACTTTGCGATATGGATAATAATTAATAACCCATCATGTCTGAGCTGGCAAGGTTAGTTTAATACTTAGTACCAGCACTGCACACCACTATTTGATAGCTATATGTCACTACACAATATATTATGATGGGTTGATGGGCATATGTTTATTGGATATCTAAATTATACGTAACGATATTTGTTCTGTGATTTAAATATAAATATAAATACAGTGAAACAATAAACTTTTTTTTATTTAATTAATAATCGAGCAATTTATTTTACAAAAGCGATATAATTTGTTACATACCCATATTGGCTTATTTCTTTGAAATAACCCTTTAAAATAACTAAATAAAATAACCTTCAAAGGGTTATTTTCTTTATTATTTTTACAGAGGTTATTTGATGTATACATATTATATATTGGAAGGCTTGTAAAGTTTTTTTTATTAAACTGTTTGGAATAGCCTCAAAAATAGATTAAACTTAATTAGGTTGAACGAATTAATGAATTATATATAATGTTAGAGACAGTCTGGATCTTAAAAAGGATTTAGGAGTTTTGAATTGACTGATTTAGATTCTGTTTTATTCGTATATTTAATATAAGTTCTCGTTTGAAAAAAGTTTAAGGGCCGTAACAAGGATAAGTCGATAAGGCGATTCAAAAATTTACCTCAGGCGCCAATGCAATGGAAGCGCTAATTCCTGACAATTTTTTTTAAATTAAAATATTGGTCTACCATATTCTCAGGTAGAATTTAAAAATATCTTAAAACAAATTATTTAACTATTCAATTGCCTAAATTATAAGTAAAATGCATGTTTGATATCGTGTGTGTTTCATTATTATTATTCTTCTACTGTTATTGTTGTATAATTTTTACGTAACATACATTTTGTAAATTTAATATTGTTTTAATTATCGTTATGCAATCAGTGGTGTTTATTAATAGTTAATATTTACTCGATAAACATTTATTTTGGTAAACCCAGCCAAAGCCGACTGTTGTCAATCTTTATCTTCCGATTGTTCAGTGTTCGGTGCTCACCACTGACACCCGTGACAACTGAAAACACTACTATTAGTACTATTGTCTTATTGTCTATTCGTCAATACTCAATAGTCAGCCAACCATGCTACATACAAAAAAACTTGCACACTGAACAAATTTATAATATTTTTACCGGCTAATGGCCATCACCCATTGAAATATCGTTGTCTGCGTCTCTTGGTTATTTAACTATAACATTATGATTTACGACAAATGAAAATATTGACAATTATTGCGGACAACGGATAAAAAATAGTCACAATCACATATCCATTTGCCATTTGGTAACTATTTGCGTAGTTGATTAATTTAGGCATTTAGTAACTGGTTGATAAAATTGTACTTACTTAAATAATAATAATTATTATCTATGAGAATACGAAAACATATAGAACGTTGACAAGACTGTTGATGTCTCCTAAATTATATGCAAAATAGATAGTCACCGCTCGCACTTTGTAGGTAACAATACATTTTTTTTTAATCTATTACAATTTTTAAGTTTTAATTAATAATATTCTACTGCATATTTTAACGATTCTTACGTCATATTGCATGACATAGTGACACGTGTTTTGATCCTTTTGTTTTGTTCATAAAAATCCGTGCTTTGTAAATTACACCAAACACAGTGACAAAGCGTTAATGAATAAACATGAAGTATTGCAACATTTGTAACTATTATTTTTTTTCTTTTTTTAACTTAACAATGACCAGCCAGTGTCATCTGTTTTTTTTTTTTAAATTGATTTTAAATTGATTTTGCTTTCGAATACAGTACTTAAATTTCGTGTAACTTGTGGTTTAAAAATCAAGTAGTCGTGTCCGAAACATTAAAAAAAAAAGAATAGTGGAGCTACTGGAGCTCCAAATCGTAAGAAAAAAATATGAAAAGTTGAAAACGAGAAATCGGTAAACACTTTTGAAAAGTGATTTTAAACATTTACAACAGTCCCTCCTTGTTCATCATTAAAAACTGATTATTCTGCGTAAATCCTTAACGATCTGCACCATAACAATTGACAAGTCTTCGGACGATTCTCTTAAAAAAAATAACAAGTAAACTTGAACTTTTAAATGATACAGTCATAAAAAATAACACTAAACCAGGTGATTAAAAAATAAAAACTATCGTAATTAACAGTGACACCTGATAAAGATAAATCAAATATCACAGAACCATCAAACAAATTATTTGAGATCAACTATGGGCCAGGAGAGACTTTAAAATTTGGCTCTTTTACCTATATAGAGAATTAAGTTGCTGGAGAAATTTATTTTGAAGATTTCATCAATAAATTTGCGACAATCAAATCGAGAAAAAGTTCAATTATGAAACTAAAAAACTGGTTGCTGTTTTCACAATGCTCTTTCATTTAATACTATCTTGTTTTTATTTTTTTAAGTTTTAAAAATTAGTTTAAAAATAAATACTTGTAAAGTTGTAAATACATGCTTCTATGATAAACAAGTAAATAATAGCTTGACATTTTTAAATGATGATTTTTTTTTTGACCGAAGGTTAGGTTATTAATAATATACTCAAACTTAACTCAGGCCCCTGAAGAGCTTCTAAGCTCCTAAGCTTTTTACGACTCTTCTATGATATTTGATTTCATTAGCTTATAGAAGGATTTGGTTTTGAATGAGATTGGTGAATGGTGGGAATTTATGACTTCGTAACGACAATAGGTATAACTTTGAATGAACTTCGATTAACAATAAAGTATACCGTGTGTCCACGGAAACGGGGTACACTTTATTACCCAATACTCAGTAAAATATTTTTTTTATTTCTATTTACGGGACGTTAAATTAGATTAATGGACCATAAATTTTATATGACTTACAATTTTTTTTAACTCATGTATTTTTTTCATGTGCAACCCAACTTAATTTTTTTTTTTATGGCAACTCATATTTTGAACATCATTTTTAAATTAACCATTTGTTTTTCAAATAACTTTAATCTATAAACTTCTATTCTAAACCCAAAATTGGTGAAATAAAAGGTAGGTATAGTTTTAACAAATATGTATTGAATTAATTTTTTTATTTTTTATTGTGCGTATTTTTTATTTTTTTTTTTTTGTTCAAAACATCATATGATATATAAATATATTATGGTGTATTTATTACTAAAGTGATAAACTATTAACTGTTTATTAATTATTATTTTATTTTATTATTACACACAATGAAAATAAATTACATAATTTTTTATAAAAACATGCGTTTTTAGAAAATAAAATTCTAAATTTCTGTTTTTTTTTTGACAATACTGTATATAGTTATTTACAATTTAATTAATATAAATTACAAACACAAATTGTTCGATAATTCCTCCGTTGTGTACAGTGCATGTTTCAAATCGATGTAAACATATACACGAGTAGTTGTTGCCAGTACCTATTTGATTTTCATTTATAAGAGATTACAACCGTGTTGATTTTATTATTTAAATCTTAAATGTTGATTGGAAGTTCAGCGTACACAACATTTTTCAAGTGGCCCCACAAAAAAATTTAACGATGTAAGATCAGGTGACCTTGTGGTCACTCTACCGGTCTGTGTGTCACGATAAACGTTTTACTTTGTTAAGATGCATTTGTTTTTTTTTTAATTGTACGAACCAAAGTTTTAGACACGCCAAATTCATGTCCAATGTTTCTAACAGATGAACATGCATTAAGATTGTACGTATGCTAAGACTTGGTTTTCAATAACCTCATTAAAATTTGGATTTGGGCTCGAAGTTGTTGTTGAACAGTATTTGTTTTATAGAATAAACCCAGTGATGTATTGCTAAAATAAACCGTGGTTATACGCCTTATTCGCGTAGATATATACAGTAGACGCCGCTTATAAGACTCACTTTGGGACCAGCACAAAGTGAGTCTTATAACCGAATGAATCTTATAGACGAAGTGGAAAAAAAAATTAATTACGTATTTATAAATTTTATTTTACTACATATTTTGCTTTGATTTTAATACATCAACACATATTACATATTACATACTTTATTATTGAATAAATTTAATAATCCCGATAAAAATCTAAAATTATAATCGTTATAATTATCGTTGCGATAAATGTGAACTTTTATCTGCGATAAAAATTATTATACTTTATAAGGTACCAACAGAAACTAGAAATAATCAACACGAATATTATTTCATTTTTCAAAACCAATTTATTTCTAAATTATAACCAAAAAAATTTATTTTCTACTATTTATTTTACGAAATTTGAGTCTTATAACCGAAGTGTTGAGTCTTAAAACCGATTTTTTTTTAATGTATTTGGATACGTCTGGACCGTTCCAGATGATTTTGAGTCTAATAAGCGACTGAACCTTATATCCGTGAGTCTTATAAGCGGCGTCTACTGTATAATGGAGAGATCCAGTATAGTAGGGTCCAAAAAGATTTTTCTCGCTCCACTCGGGCTATATAAAAATTATTTATCTTAACAATATACTACATAAAAAACAATAAATTATTTTATCAATTAATATTTTAATACTACAAATATTTTACATTTTAAACAAAAACATTAAAGTGTAATCTTTTTATACGCATTGGAATCATATCGTGATACCACAAAAAAAGTATTATACAATCGACTATCGCGATGTCGTTGTTGCAAGGTTACTGATGTATTATATTTACCTACAAACCGTGATATGATACTTGATATATTATTTAAAATTGTTAGGTATATAATAGATACGGCCGTTTACCCACGTATCATTAATTTGTCATAAGCTATACGCCACTATACGTCATTTTCCATCAATGACATTTCAAGTTTTTAAACATAGGTAAAATGAGGATGGTAGGTATAGGTACTATTGCAGGTAGTTGCCAGTTGGTACCGATCAGAATATTGCCGAGCATACATTTTTATTGCTTCTCATGTATTTTTGTTACATTTTCCATAGACAGTGAGACTAACAATAACTGAACTTTTTAATAATTATTCGTGTTAAATTTTTATTTTAACTATTTTAATTTATTTTTTTATACATTTTTACTATTGTCACTTAATAAAGAAATATATAGTATTATATTACTTATTTAAATTTTATAACTTGGATAATATTTAGAAAGATTGAATAGGCTGAAAAGTATATACTATGTACAATGTACAAAACATGGTGTTTGCTATATACATGATAATATATCATAAATTAGTAAAGCTACTAATTAATCCCACATTCCCACTTGGTCTTTGTAAATATATATTATGTTCCTACCTACGCAGTAACTCTTATAACCAATGAGTAATACTATAATAGTCATCTTAGTCATCATAACATAAAACATTTTTTACTAGTGAAAATTATTTCATATTCAGTAAGTTCTTGATTTCAGGTAACACTCAATATTTCGTTTGAATAACTATTGCTTGCATTGAAATTAATTTTCAAGAGCACCTAAATGGTACCTACTGAAATATATATTTTGTGAAATTTTCAAATCTTTAACTCTAACATTTTTGACAAGCATATGCTTAATATCACATGTATTTTTTTGTATGATGATCGAATTTTTGAAGTCAATTTGATATTTGGACCTAAATTCAAAATTGACGGTCAGAAAATTTAAAAAAAAAAACATTCTCTGTGAAAAGTTTGCATCTTTTTTTAACAACAATAATCATTACATGATTATTATTTATTTTTTTTCATAGAATCTATCATTTTCTAAGCGTATAATAACTAATAACACTGATAAGTGATAACTTATTGAGTTATACGGCACCATTATATAATTTAAAAGTGCACTAGTAAATACACATGTTATACATAATGTTATAACTTATAATCAATAATTATATTATACCTATTATTATTGTATACTATAATTTAATAAATATATAAATATTACATTAAATTTAATTATATTCATATTATATAATCAAATTTTTTAAAAATAGATACATCTTGAAAAATATTTTAATTTTTATTTAAAATGGTTTTTTTTTTTTTAATTTTCAGTCCTTCTTTTGTGAGAATACATAAAAAATAAGTTCAAATTTTTACGAACCATTCTCCTGAAACAACGGTTTACGTTTCGATATTAGGCAAAAAAATTTACCAGGAAAAAATTATAGTATAAATAAAACAATTTTTTTCTGCTGTACTTATTATTATTACATTTATATTAATATGTAATGCCAAAATCTCATTCTATAATGTTCAAAAAAGTTATCGATGAAATTCAGTGCAATTGTATTCAAGCAGGTAAGTCAAAGAATAAAAAAAAAAGATTTTCCTATACTTGAGTAAATTAATTTTTCTATTTAAATAAATAAATAACTTTTTTTTTAAATAATTATTCGATAATTCAAAATATTTTTAGTTATTATTTTATATAAGTACCTAACTTATAGTAATGTTTTCAGTAACATATAAATATGTTTGTTTTTTTTTTTAACTATTATATAATTGGTTATAAACTTATAATTTATAATCGATACGTTTTATATTATGTTTATTTGGTAATTTTTTGTAATGACTTTTGGTTTTTTCCTTTTAAACTGTGGTCCGAGGTTTGAGGCTGATAATAACTGATAACATGAATCATCAGCTGTGATGGTGCGGAGCAATGGTACATGGCGGACATTTTTTCCTTATATCGGATGAGTAATTGGACTATCGATTACTTCGCAATCCGCTTCGTTTTGTTGTTTTTCAAGACTAGTGCGCACTCTCTTGTCTATTACTTGTTTATTGTTCCTACTCTTCGGTGAAAAGTACACTGAATAGTGACCAGTCATCGCCTGTCGTTCTGTCGCGCTTACCGTTCGCGATTTACATAGCTGAGTTGATATTATTATTGTGGTGTGCTCGTTAACGTCTGTTGCTAGTCCGTGTTTGTTCATTGTAATCTTTGTATATTGACGTTACCGCCAAAATTATGTCCATCTGCACGTTTTTAGGCAAGTACATTTTGTACTTGTTCAATCTATTGTGTCTCGTAAGTATATATTGATATAAATAATAACGTATTACTGCTACACGATTTGATAATTGCATTCAGTATAAAATTTAAATAATTATTAATAAATAAAACGACGTAGATTCAATATGCCACATTAAATGAAATTGGTATATAATAAACAACAGATAGGAATGCGAGTTGTGATGCTACATATTATTATTTAAGGCGTTTAGGTGTGCAACAATTGAGAGAAATATTCTACACATGTAACTAAGGTTAATTCAACTACTTAATCCCCATCAAAATCATCACTCTAATATTAACTAGATAACGCAATTGCACACAATTGTTGTTTAGAATATTTAGGTGTAGGAACTATATAATGTCATAAAGTTTTCTAAGAAATAGAAAAATTATATTTTATAGGCTTAAAAGATAATGAGTTATATTGTATTTTTTTTTTTTTTGGATTTGAAGAATATTGAGTTATATTTCTTTGGACACCAAATATTATATTTGATGATTATTCAATAAACATTTAGAAATATTTTAGGACTTGAAGTTTTTTCAGGGTAGGTACTTCCTTTTTCTTTCAACTGATATTAGTTCATGAGGTTGTTACAATATATTATGATGATAGTGGGATTAATGTTTGGAAAAATAATAAGATATCTAATTTTTTTCCCAGATAACTTTTATTATAAAATGTATTTTGTAAATATTTCAGATTTCCAGTGTTGGAATTTTGTCAATTGCATTCATTATCAATCAAAAACTGTACAAATGGTCAAATTTCATAAGCACTGATCTCATCACCGCTCCTCAAATATTGTTGGCCATTGGTATTGGATTGTTAGTTATTTCCATCATAGGTCTGTGTGGTGTGTTGAGAGATATTGGATGGCTTTTGACACTGGTATGTATACTATGTTAAGTAACATGTATGTTTGCACTGTTGTATAATTTACTTTTTTTTACTCTTAAATAACATGTGTTTCAATTTTTTTAGTTTTCTGTTCTGCTTACAATTGTTTTGATTGGAGAACTCATTTTGTCCGGTTTTTTGTACCAAATGCGCAATGAAATTAAAGACTATGCATTGAATCAGATGAATCATACTATTTCTGAATACAATAAAACTGGCTATGAAACTTCCACAAAAACTTGGAATTTGATACAGTCTGACGTAAATAATGTTTATTTCTTGTTAAATCTTACGTAATCTTATCCAGCTTAACTAATATTTGATTATTTAATTTTAATTTTTAGATTGAATGCTGTGGAATTTATGGACCAGAAGATTGGAAACTAGTTACACCTAATAAACTGCCTACATCTTGTTGTTATGCCATACCAGTAGATGGATTTTGCACAGAAACTGAATCATATAAAGATGGATGCTTTAAAAAGTTTGAAAGTATTCTACAAGAAAATAGTGAAATAATAATATGGACAGCAATTGGTTTTGCTTTAGTACAGGTTTGTTAAAATAGAATAATAAGACAAATCATAATTTAATATACTAGAATAAACTTGTGTGCAATTAAAAATGTTTGAGTTATATTATAAACTAATTTTGTTACAAAACATATCAATAATATGTAATATATTTTTGTTTTAGCTTTTTGCTGTGTTTTTAGCGTGTTGTCGCAAGTGTTCTTTACACAAAGAATATGAAACAGTGTAAACATAATTATCATTGAAGTATGTAGTTATTAATAGAGCTATATAAAGAATATGCACTATTAATCCCAATATATCATTACTTCCAATATTTCTATTTCTTTTGTTTATAAATTATCATGTGTTAAGATTTTAACTGATATGACACTATGATATATTAAATTATTATTTATATTTTATTGTATTCAAAATAATCTATAATAATTTTCTGTTGTCTTTTGTATTAATTAATGGTTTAATTTGATTACAATTTGTTTATCTAAAACTTTAATCCATCTTATATATTAATTGCTATTGTTCTGTACACATTAAGCAAACACTTGATATTATCAGATAATAATAAAAAATATATGATGTATTCTTTTTTAATTTGTTTTGAATTTAATAATAATAAATTAAATTATAACATTCTATACAAATATACAGTGTTCAGTAATCAAAGAATGATACATTATTTTATATATTTGGTATAATTTTTACACTTTTGTTATGATTTTGTAAAATTATTAGAACAAATAATTCTATTTAGCTTTACTACTTTTACTTTTTTTATCATATTATATTAAGTTACTATGTAGTCATTTATTTGTCTTAAAGGATTTTGATATAGATAGTTTTATTTGTATTATTTTAAAGATATTAAATATATCGATGAAAGATATTTGTTTGTTTTATTATTTTTACTTTTTACCTTTAAATATTTTTTTAACTTGTTATTAGTGTAACAAATTAATTTAAAAAAAAATTATTTAACTAATGTAATAGATAATTCGTCTATTAAATAAGTTTAATCTCCAAATATTAATGATTCGTTTAAGAGTGAGAGGTAAGATATAATTATTATGAAGAAAATGTAATATATTTATTGATTTACATTTTCACTTTCAATTCATTTATGTTTTTAAAAATGCTGGGTGTAGATTAAAGATGGCAATTATGATTCATTTAAGTTAAATGATTTATTCAGATCAGCTCAAAAAGAAGATATAGTTCAAATACCAATACCTGATCATTTTGTGAGCCAATTAAATTAGAATTTTTAAATGGAATATTTCTTTTAGTAATAGTGGTACTCGTATAATTCACGAATTGATCCATGTATGATTCTATAACAGATGGGTCACTTCAAAATTATAAGTTGTGATGAGAATAGTAAACTATAAAGGTAATGGATAAGTTATTTTATTTTTCTATTTGGCTGAATCATTAACATTAAACATAGTTAAAATAAGTTTAATACCAATGGGCAAAATAGAATATTATCCATCTATTTTGTAATATAAATGTTCAATATAAACCATTTTTATTATCTTTACTCAAATCACTAATCGTCTTACTATTTAGTTAAGTATAATAATTTATTTGAAGAATATATTTACAGTATACTTGTATAATAGTATATATTATAGTACACAGTGATTACCAAGCATGCTCACTCCTTTTTTCTTCTTTAATAATGTAGTTATTCTAAATTTAATTTTTGAAATTTTAAAATATGCTTTAAGACTATTGTTTCAAATTTTTGAGATTTTTTGTGGAACTTAAGTAGTGTGATATCGACTTCTCTTTTAACTGTAAATTATTTAGTAGATATTTTTATACTCTCGTAAAAAATCTCCAGATTTCGATTTGATAACAGCTGAAATCGCTAGACGGTTGCTAAAAAAGGCCAAAGTTCTCCTAACCTACATATATAACGCAATTATAAGACTTTCATATTTTCCACTAACCTGGAAATTTTCACGAATAATTATGTTTGCTAAGCCAGAAAAACCACCTGATATCCTTACCTCGTACAGACCAATTAGTCTTTTACCATACCTTTCGAAAATCTGTGAAAGACTTATTCTTAAACGTTTAACTCCATATATATTTGCAACCAATATACTCCCGTCTTCACAATTTGGTTTCAGAGCTAAACACAGTACAATACATCAAGCTCATAGAGTAGTTGATGCTATTAGCACATCTCTCGAAAAAAAATGTTACTGCACAGCCGTTTTCTTGGACATATCTCAGGCCTTTGATCGAGTATGGCACGAGGGCCTACTCTATAAACTTCGACAATTTTTACCCTCACCGCTCTTTCTTTTAATTGAGTCCTACATTACAGATCGACACTTTCAAATACGTTGCGGATCATCTAGGTACGTCAGATATAGCTCCAATTACCGACGGCGTTCCGCGAGAAGCTATCCTCTCACCATTACTATTTAACATATATGCTTATGATCAGCCCACAACTTCGAACACCACAATTGCCGACTATGCAGATGATAAAGTAATCTTTTCAGTTCATAACGATCCAATTATAACTTCTGCTAACTTACAGTCTCATTTAAATTTACAATCTGAATGGTATGAAAAATGGCGCGTAAAAGTAAATCACGGCAAATCAGTCTATACAACTTTTACCCTTAGACACGGTCATTGTCCAAATGTTTCAATCAATAACATACATATCCCACCACTCAATGCTGTAAAATATTTAGCCATTTAGGTTTAATTCTTGACCAACGATTAATCTGGAACAAACATATAAAAGCCAAAAGATTGACCCTCGATCTAGATCACTAAAAACATTGTTATCAAAAAATAAATTCACTAACTTAAAAACTAAACTACTAATGTATAAAACCCTCCTAAAGCCTATATGGACATATGGATTACAACTCTGGGGATCGGTAAAAAAATCTCGTAGTCGATATAAATATATTTTATATTTTTGTAAAGTATTTTGTAAGAAATATTTTAATAATTGAAAAAACTCTACTCGAATTTTCAAGTATATTAAAACTTTCAATAAAATGTATCAACTATCTAAATAATTTATAGAAAAAAGTTTGTATTACCACTATTTAAAGTGTATTTAGTTTTTAAAAAAATCAGAATTTGTAAAAATTCATTATGAAATTTATATACGGGGATGAGGAATAATGCTTGGTGAACCACTCTGTATAGTATAAAATTATACTCGATAAACCCACACGTCTATGTTGTCAAGACAATTAAACACGATTACGAAACAATTTAATACCACAATTAATAATAAATATTTAAATTTAATTAAACAATATAATTTATCGTGGTTTATGATATTGCCACTGTGTCACTGGGCGCTGAACGCTGATGCGAGGTAGTAAAGTTGTTATTATTTTGCGTGTGGCACGGCGACGGCGCGCGCATGCTCGATCCAGTGATAACGACGACTTATTATGAAAAAAATATGCACGCACGCACGCACACGTACCGGCATTAGAGACTGACAACCGTAGTATTCGCCGGTACGCAGACACCATTTTTGGAACCACTATCGTTTTCGAAAACTCGACGCATGATTGTTATTTCGGTGTTTTCCTTTGTTCGCCCGTCGTGCCGCCACCGTCGTCGTGCATTTTTATCGCCGTGCGCTCACGTCTCACGGCCTTTTTGAGCGTTTAACGCGCCGCACCCGGGGCAGAAAACCGCATTTCGCGCAATAGGCCAAGCCCGGTACGTTTCGCCAGAGTTTGTCCGAGCGCTGTTGTTCCACAGCGTGCAATTTCCGTTTGCAAAAACGCCGCCACCGCATGCAAAGGCTCTTCTCCATCCGTCACTCACGTCCGTCCATAGTCGATCGTCATCTCCTAGCCGCCGACGCTGACGCCACTCGCTGGCTGCTCCGACAGACCGCCGCCACTGTTAGTTGTTCTCAATGTCTTAAGACTGAATAAATTCACATCATTCCCTCCCCGAGTTGTAGAGGTTGGCCGCCGCCGCAAGTGTTCGAGGTATGCGACCGCTACAACTGTTGTTGACCGTTGAAATAACCGATTTCACGTGCAATATTATCTTGTGTCCGCAGGTCGCCAGTCGCCACTAACCCTCAGTTAATAATGTCTACTACCCCTACCCCCCGTAGTCCTAACAATTCTGGTCGCAGAGGTGTGACTGCGACATTGCCTGCAGTCGCAGCCGTACAAGCGACTCCGCCGTCATCACCGTCCATAGGCGGGGAAACTACCAAGGAAGTGAAACCAAATCCAAAGATGTCTAAATCTCTTAGCACTTCGACTAAGAGGTGAGTGTTATTTCTCTTAAAATTTTCACACATCATTATCTATCTTGATGGCACAACTAGTGCCCTATCTGATTCATTTTAACTATTTGAGTATTCACATAAAGTCTTCAATGTTATCGTTATTATTTTAAATTATAATAACAATAGTATTTATCCAAAATATATTATGTGGATAAAAAACAAAATAATATTTAGGTATATTATATACTTACCCTTAAGAAATATAGTTAGTTATACTATTATTATGTCTTATTATAAAATCTTGCTTATACTTTGTATTAGCCTACTTAACTGTTACATAATTATTTTCTATTATGAGCAAAAAAAAAAAAATTATAATTCGTAATAATTTATAGACATGTATTAAAAAGTTTTAAATGAGTAAAACAGTTTGATGATATTATTCTTGAATAATCTATATAAATAAAATAAATGGATAATATGTAAATGACAAATGTGAAATTTTAAAAACAAAATATTAGAACTGGACATAATATAGGTTAAGTACCTGCTTTAGTAAATTTTTAAATTGATAAATATTGTTATTACTTTTGATAATAAATTAACTACAATAAATGCTGTTTGGTCTAAAATAACTAAATAAAAAATTGTTTACTATCTCTATGAAAAAATTCATAAATATAAATTTATGCAGTCAAATTATGTACATATTTGTCAATTATATTTAAAAAAAGTTTTTTAGATTATTTTAGTTATATATTATAACTATAAATTAAAAATTTATTTTTAATTAGTTAATGTTAACAATTGGACATCATATTATACAAAATCTTAACATAATGTTGATAATATTTTATTTTTATTTATTTATTTGATTAATACTGAGGTATAATTATGTAACTTTTTGGTTTTAATATTTATCTAATATTAGTGATTGTATACTAATATTAATAGTTTATAAACATGTAATAAAATAATTATATTATATTATACATTGTACCTATTAATATTTTCTAGGATTCAAAAAGAATTAGCTGAAATTACATTGGATCCTCCACCCAACTGCAGGTAAAGTTAATTTATGATTAAAAAATAATGTAATAAAAATAAAACTGCTTTTGATTAATATCATAAGGGGTTCTCTATATAT